AAAAATCTTGACTAGTTGTAAATACAGAAGATATTTGTGTTTGCTCTGTAGCTTTTCAATACAATTCAACAAAGTAAACGGATCTTCTAGTACAATGAGACTAGAAATTACAAGGGACTCAAATATCATTAAGTTTTAATCTTTAAAGCTAAATCCCACAAGGCACTATAACACCTCTGGTTTACTAAGACAAGTCAGTAACTGTAGCACCATAAAGAACCATTAAGAAAGGAGCCAGACTGACCAATAAAACATTCAGTGGAAGGAGACTGAGATAAGCCCACAATCCCTCCAGTTGGAACAACATGCACAGTGCTGCTGGACAGAGCGAGGGTGACCTCCATGGGTATAAATGAAGTGACAGATGTCAGAAACACTGTAGGACTTGGACTCTACCTCCTGTAGTCAAATTTGAGGAGGAATCAAAGATGACACTAAGATTTTAGGAAGCATCTTCCTTACTTAATAAAGTCTCTTACTTCTGAAGTTGGCCCTAGGAGCACCTCTGTTCCTAAGAACCACCTAACCTCAGCATCCTTTGCTATCATCACCACTCAGACTTCAGGAGAGCGGCTGTTGGCCCCGGACACTTTGACTAAAGCTAATTAATAACTCTTCCCTTAAGTCATACCATGGTTCTCCGTTTTTACTTCCACAGCACAACTGAGACAAAGCGAACACACTTAGAAAGACTTTACTAAAGGCTTTGGAATCAATAAAAAGAAAATAACCCCCAAAGATATAATGAATCAGAAAAAAAAGTTATGATTTAGTCCTTTTCAGCCCATAAAGCACAGTGGGAATCAAGCCTTCCAATTTCTCCTGTCTTTCCAGATGGTAGATTCTATTTTTAAGGTCCACTGCCCAGACACCTCTCCTCAACATCAGACCATGACTCTCAAGCACAGCCAAGTGATCTCTCCCACAGCCATGGTTTGGAATCTCAAGACCCGCTTCTCATCCAGCTGACTGACATGAGACATGCCCTCGCTCTTTACCCTTGGAACTCTCAACAATGCGAACTCAGCCACGCCAACAAACAGCAAATACTACATCACACAGAGCCCACCGGGTGCGTAAACACATCTATAGAAAGGACACGTTCACAAAGATAGGAAAGGTTCCAAAAGGAGCTGATTAATGAAGGTTGAAAATGAAAGAAAGAAAAAAATACTAGAAGGGAAATGGGTTTGTTTCACTGGGGAAATGTTAGATTTAAGATGCAAAAAAAGCATCCAAGTAGAGATACACACCAAGTAGAGAAATGTTTCATCTGGAGTTTATAAGGAGGTTGACCCTGGGGATGTAAAAAATAAAAAAGTTGAAGTTGTGGAAATATATAAGAAGAAAGTACAGAAAGAAGTGAGAGGAAGACAGATCCCTTGGCGATACCCCTACACACGGAGTGGGAACAAGAGAAAAAGGGGGAATTGGCAGGACAGAGCCAGAAAGAGTGCAGTGTGATAAGGGCAGTGAAGAAGACACACTCAAGAGAGAGGAAGTGAGCCACAGTCCAGCATTGTTTAGAGAGAATGGAGGAGGTTATGAGTAATAAAAGTTCATTGAGTATGAAATAGAACATAGGTGCCTTTTGAGAGGCAGAATTTAGTATAGTAATGGGGGAAGGTCAGAAGAGGGGGTGAGAAGTGACAGGCAGGTGGAGGCAGGGCACATGCCATTCATACACGAGAAATGACAATGCAGGAAGGAGAGAAAGAACCAAGACTCTGTTAGCACAGAGACCTTGCCCACTGTGCTCACTGCTGCGTCTCTAGCACCAAGACCAATTTCTGGTATATAATAGGTACTCAATAAATATTTGTCCATTGGATGCTGTTTATTTAATAAATGCTGTTGTTTGATTAAATAAATGAATTAGTGCATGAATACAGGGGTGATATGTGAGGGACATGAGAGAATAATCTTGCTCTGGCGTGTGGATGATTCAGGTACCAATGCTGGATTTATATTGTTTTAAGACCTGATTACAAGGTAAAGTCTGTAAGTGCAGTTCAAACCATTGGATTTAGTGTCGGTGAAGAATGAAGTTAGTCTTTTTGATAGTAATCTGAGGAAAAAGAGAATCTATCAAGCCAGATACTAGGTTGGGAGAGGCACATTGAGTGTATGCCCCACATTCAAAGTCTTTGGAAAGTTCCTATCTAGGTGTGACAATATAAGAAGGTTCAGCCAGCCCCAGGGTTCGGGAGGATGGGCAACATTGAGAGCAGATAAGTGATGTGGATAAACTATCAAACACCAAGAAGGTTCAAGGGTGTGTTTTATTAGATGACATAGTAGTCACTTTGCAGCGGTTCTCAACCTATGGGTCACGACCCCTTTGGGGGTCGAACAACCCCTTCCCCGGGGTCACCTAAGACCATCGGAAAACACATATATAATTACATATTGTTTTTGTGATTAATCACTATGCTTTAGTTATGTTCAATTTGTAACAATGAAATTGGGGGTCACCACAACATGAGGATCTGTATTAAAGGGTTGCGGCCTTAGGAAGGTTGAGAACCACTGACTTACAGTGAATCTAGAAAACAAATTTCTCATCCAGTTGTTTCTCATTTTGTTTTGATTCTGACAAAGGAGAATCTAGCTTATATAAGGTCAATAGGAGAAAACTGGCAGAGCACTACAGAAAGAAGGTACAGTTATAAGAATTGATATAATATAATTATATAAAGCCCTGGAAGAAAGGCGAGGCTATGAGATCCAAAGAGTTCATTTTTACAAAGTGATATAAAAAAATTCGAGAGTAAAAAAGAAAGCCTATGTTCATTGCAGCCTTATTTACAATAGCCAAAATATGGAAGCAACCTAAGTGTCCTTCAATAGATGAATGGATAAAGAAGATGGGGTATATGTAAATAAAGAAGTGTCATGCAGCAATAAAAAGGAATGAAATCTTGCCATTCTTGAAGACATGGATAGACCTGGAGGTTATTATGATAAGTGAAATAAGTCAGACAGAGAAAGATAAATGCCACCTGGTTCCACTTATATGTGGAATCTAAATAGAATAAAGAAAATAAATGAACAAACAGAACAAAACAAAAAAAAAACAGACACCAAAGGGATGGTTGCCAGAGGGAAGGGAATGGGTTGCTAGAGAAATAGGGGATGGGTGAAAAAGGTAAAGGGAGATATAGTGAATAATATTGAGTTAAGTTTGCATTGTGACAGATGATCTACACTAATAAAAGAGAAAGATGCAAATTGACTATACCTTTGCAACACCCACCAGCCAATCAGTGGCCAGGGGTGGGGTGGGATGCAGGCCTTCCCCACCACCCCAGCTGCTCTGGGTCTCTGGGCCAGAGCGAAGGCAGTGCCAGCAGCCAGGGGAAGGAAGGCCCATTCTTGCACAAATCTTTGTGCATCAGGCCTCCAGTTACTAAATATCATATTGAATCACTATATTGTATACCTCAAATTAATATAATTAATATAAACTTTTTTTAAAGAAAAAAAAAGTATATGGAAGACACTCCATTGAGGCTTATCCAGAAGTTAGGGGACAGAGTCAGCGAGATGGCTTATGGAACACAGAAAGTTCACATCGCTGCTGTGGAGGGGCCACCGGAGAGCCTCATAAACAGGAGAGTTTCTGCAATCTGGTGGGGCTGGATCACTGGCATGTGCAGAAATTCCCATTAGCACAATTTAATAGTACCTACAGTAATACCTGAGACCTTGAAAAGGTTTTTTGCAGTTAGAGATGCAGTCCTACACTTGAGCCAAGTTCAGCTCACCATAATGGATCTGCTACGAACCAAGTCGTAACAATGGGATAAACTCACACCTCATGGCAGAATCATCTCACAGTTTTAGAAATAGCTCTAAAGACAAGTGCTAGTCAAAGGAATCACAATTAACCCACCCTGCTTATTTCCCTTCAAATGGAGCCAAGTTGTGCTGTTTTATATCAAGATCCTTAAGGTCTTCCAGATGGAAGAATTCTAGCCCAACCTCTCACCTATTATGACTTTACTTTTAGAAATCCGTGGCAGAAACTAACAGCATACCCTGGCATCCATGTGCTCCCCTCCATTTCTCAGCTTCCTTTGCAGTACACCTGAGGCCACATGGCTAGACTCTGAACAATGGGACGCTGGTGAACCTGATTTAAGTCACTCCCGGGCCTCGCCCTATCTTGGATGAAGAAGGACCAGCAAACCTGCACCATATTAGACCCTGCTTGAATGATGAATAATGTTCCATTATGTCACTCACTGACACTTGTGGATTTGTCCATTTCAGCAGCAGCAAGCATTCATTGCTTTTCAAAGAGTTGCCAGTTGTGCCAGAGCAAAGGATGGAGGTTATTATTATCCAAAGGATTAAAAAAAAAATAGAAGCAGTCATGAAAGCTCATATTTACGATATAGTAGCATCTCGCTCATCTAAACGTGATTGGATACATCTATATATATATAAAGCTAGCTACCTGAATGCTGAAAGGACCAGAACACCAGAGACCAGAACACCAGACCCCTTGCCAAGGCTGGCCCCGCTCCCGGGGAGCAGTTAGGGGTGTCCCTAGGCAATGGGAGCGAGTTTGATGGGGAAAAGTCAAAGAAATAGGAAGGTCTTAAGGGTCTGCGGGGGTTGGGGTGGTCGGCCCAGAGCAGGTTTGGAGTGTGCTGGGGAAGGAAGAGGAAGATCTGATTGGAAAAGGGCTCAGCACAGTACCTTTCTCATTGCGAACCAGCCGTGGACGGAATGGGTGGTTGTTTCATGAGTGCGCTTGGGACCAACATGTTCATGGCAGCGGCAGGACTCCCGAAACTTCACTGATTCCAAACAGTAAACAGCTATCAGCCTCAAAGAACAGAAAAATCCTCTCCCACTAGAGGCCCTGGATGTTCCAAGGCGACTGAAGGAAACACCACTTAAGGAGGAGCTAGAAAAACCAGAAGTATCCGACCAGAGGATTGTGGGATTGTGGAGGACGCCTGAGCGCCTGCAGCTAGAACGTGAGCCTGTTACTGCGCATGTACATAGTCAGCCCTATAGTCCTCAGTCTGGCAGTATCTGGATGTAACTTCTGGCGGGGAATTATTTGAATTGAGGTTTGCTGTTTCCTTGAGGCGAGGAAGATCAGAATTAAAGGTTTCGTTTGTTACCTTGGTTTGAAGTGGAGGAAAATGGGGTAGTGACGAATAAGAAACTTTGGAGACAGTGAAGGGCAGTTTGTCCAAACTGTTGAGAGCTCAGAAGTAGAGTTTAATTGGTATAGAAATCCTGCTAATAGCACCTGATGCCTGAAATCTGAGCACTCTACTTAGAGGTTTTCCAGTTCAAGTTTTTGGAGACTGCCTATTAAAACATTCCTGGTTGGAAGGTGTTTGTATAGAAGCCTATAAAGGAACCAGCGTTCCCAGATTGTGAGAGGGATGTCCACAGGATCAGGCTAAACCAGAAGTCAGACATCCCCCGAAAGGTCCCGGATTTCGAGAGAGTGCAGGCCAGGCTGAGGGACCCCCCCGCCCCCCAGCATGAATTTTGTGCACTGGGCCTCTAGTAACTTATAAAAGCCAAAGGGTGGCCCCTTCTTCCCCTCAACCAGGAAATACACCTTTGAGGTTTTAAAACAACCCAGCCTGAGAGTGAACTACAGCTTCAGAGCTTCCCTCACTAGTTAGCCTCTCCGGCTCTATTTATTTACTCAAGTTTTCTTGGAGTAAATAAACTAGTCTTGGCAATCTGGCTTGTTATTTCACATCAGACAAGAAATAGGAAATTGGAATCAATAAGTGGTGTGGTGCTAGAAGGAGACATATCACAACATCCTAAGAGTGAAGGAGGGATCAGAACTCCAAAAGGCAACACCCCCAAAAAGAAGGTTAGAGAGCCCCACCTTTTTGTTGTTAATCCTCACCCTAAAATATTTTTCCCATTGACTTTTTAGAGACTAGAAGGGAGCGGGGGGGAGGAAGGAAGAAACGGAGAGAGAGAGATGTGAGAGAGACATTGATTGGTTGCCTCCTGCACTTGCTCTGATGAGAGGGCTGGGATCAAACCGGCAACCCAGTTAAGTGCCCTTGACCAAGAATCAAACCCAGGACCCTATGGGGCACAGGCTGACATTCTAACCACTTAGCAACCATGGCCAGGACAAGAGCCCTGTCTTATAAAGGATGGTGTGAGCCTCACTACTCTTCACGGTCCTGAAAGGCATCACTGGAGGAGGTTGGCCCACAACAGTTAAAAATGGCTTGATTGCCGGGACTGACCCACAGACCCTGAGCGACGGATGGACAGATTGCTCCAATACACGTTTCTATGAAAGAGAGGGCTAAGGCGCTACTTGGCTATCGAAACCAAGTAGCCTTGTTCGCCTGCCTCCTTTAGCTTTTATTGTCATAACAGATTGAACTGAAATTAAGCTCTTGATACAATTAGCAGGTTAAGCATCCTTGAGAAAGTATATGCTTCTATAAGGTCAGATCTTTAAAGACTAAACATGGAGATTCTAGTAAAACACCCCCAGGGGATTGGACTTGTTTGGAAAAGTCAAGGTAGATTCTGACGCCTTCGGCAAGGTCCCCTCAGAGGCCCCCGACCTTTCGGAGAATCCTCCTTACAGACATTCCAACCAAGTCCCGTGCTCCCCCACACTCGATGTCCTTCACTAGCCTTTGCAGGCTTCTAAAGAAGGTAGGACAAAGTGTGGGAAGTCTCTGGAAAGGGTTACTCAAAAACAGTTTCAGTGTTTAAAGGCATGTATTTGTTTGAAAAACTAATTGTGCCCTGGCTGGCATTGATCTTTGGGTGAGGGTCAACCAAAATAAAATAAAATAAAACCTACTTTGTGAGGGCCACTTTACTTCTTTAGGATGCCCCATAATGATGCTCAAAACTATGAGACATTGCCACACGCACCTACTGTTTGAGAATGGGTGGTTCCTGCCCATTTGGGTAAACATATCTGGCATTCAGGAAGCCGGGGTTCCACAAGCAAAAGCAAGATCCAAGTATCATGGGAAACAGAAAGGACCCTAGAGATCATTATTCAGTCCAAGACCCTGGCAGAGCGGTTAGGTAGCCACCCATGCATCTCACTGTAGAGAAGGAACTAGAGCCCGTGTTCCCTGATAGCAACCTGGGGTAGGACCACCCCATCACAGTTCTCCTTCCCTGGACAGCCTCACAGCCGCTCCATCCCTTCTCCTCTGACCCACAGGCCGGAGACACTCACCTGCAGAAAGCAGTGTCCAACCTGGGCGTGCTCCACCAGGGTGGCGTTGTACACCTGCCTCCAGAAGATCGGCTCGTTGTCATTCACATCATTCACGGTGATGCTCACCAGGCAGGTGGCGGACAGCGGGGGCTCTCCCAGGTCTTGGGCCACCACTCGCAGCTCTACAGCCTCCTGGACTTCCCGGTCCAGACTCCGGGTAGTGCTGATCAGGCCGGTTTCGGGGTTTATGGTGAAGGATGGTGCGCACTCCGCCCTGGGCCGCTGAGCCTCTGGGCTGCAGCGCTCAGGGAGGTGGACCAGCTCATAGTGCAGCTTGGCGTGGCCAGTGCCAGCCTCGTCCGCATCGGAGGCGCTCACCCACAGGACCGCGGTGCCAGGGGCCGCGGCCTCGGATACTGAGGCCTGGTAGTGCTCCTGGCTGAAGAGGGGCGGCTGGTCATTGAGGTCGGCGATCCGGAGCAGCAGCGTCTCCTCCGTGCTCAGCGGCGGAGACCCCGCATCTGTGGCCACCAGTCGCAGGTTATACAGGTCTCGGCTTTCCCTGTCCAGGGGTCCCTGGACGCAAAGGAAAAACACCCCTGGCGAGCCGCCAGGCTTCAGCGTGAAGGCCCCCTCTGCGCCCTCCAAGGTCAGAGAGATGGTCCTGTCCCCAAGGCTCAGATCAAGTCCCCCAGCTGCCTCCCCTTCCTTCTCTGGGTCACCGTCCGCGTCGGACACCGACACTCGAGCCACGTAGTCGCCAGGCCGGGCACCTTCAGAGACTCGCGCTGCGCCCCCCTCGGTGAGGAAGAGCAGGTGGATGGCGGGCCGGTTGTCATTCACGTCCAGCACGGCTATGGACACCCGCACCGTGGCTACCTCGGGCTCCGCACCTCCATCGCGGGCCTCGACCACCAGCTGGTGCCAGGCCTGAGCCTCGCGATCCAGCGGCCTTTGCACTCGCACCACGCC